TTCCACCTAGCCATGAAGTTTCCAACAAGTAATGGCGTTGGGGTTGTCCGTGGAGACCAGATAGCTGCCAGACAATGCTATGTTGCCAGCGTTCGGGAAATAAATAACGACGTCATGCAAATCTCGAGGATGGATCCCGAGGATGGGCAACAAGTCAGACTTGCTTCCGTCGAGGAATTGATGGAAATTGAGCTCGAGCATGATAAGAAGGTGACGATTGGTCGGGATCTTGACGTCACCCTGAAGACAGAACTTGTTGGTTGCTTATCTCGCAACATTGACGTTTTTGCCTGGAAGGTTGAGGATATGTCAGGGATAGACCCTAAAATTGCAGTCCACAGGCTTAACGTTAGCCCAGGGGCCAGGCCAGTAAAACAGAGGAAAAGACAGTTCGCCCCAGAGCGTCGGGAGGTCATCCGCGAAGAAATTAACAAACTCATAAGTGCTCGGTTCATTCGGGAAGTCCAATATCCCGACTGGCTTGCCAATGTTGTTTTAGTAAAGAAAGCTAATGGTAAGTGGAGAGTCTGCATTGACTTCACAAATCTTAATAAAGCATGTCCAAAGGATAGTTATCCCCTACCGCGGATTGACAACTTGGTAGATAGCACGTCTGGACATAAGCTATACAGCTTCTTGGATGCATTTTCTGGTTATCATCAAATCCTCATGGCCGAGGAAGATCAAGAAAAGACCTCATTCATGGCCGATTCTGCCATATACTGTTATAAGGTCATGCCTTTTGGTTTGAAGAATGCAGGGGCAACATACCAAAGGCTCATCAACAAAGTCTTTCCTAACTTGATTGGAAGGAATGTGGAGGCGTACGTTGATGACATGGTGGTCAAAAGCAAACAGGTGGACCAACATATTTCAGATCTTGAAGAAGTGTTCAACACCATGCGAAAGTACGGAATGAAGTTGAACCCCGCAAAGTGTGCATTTGGCGTGGCCTCGGGTAAGTTCTTAGGCTTCATGATCACTCACCGGGGGATAGAGGCCAACCCTGATAAAATACAAGCATTAGCGTCTATGGAATCACCAAGGAACAAGAAAGAGGTACAGAGGTTGACTGGTAGGATAGCAGCCTTGAACAGGTTCATGTCCCGAGCGTCAGACAGGTGCTATCCCTTCTTCAAAGTCCTCAGAGGAAACCAAGGCTTTGATTGGAGTGAAGACTGTGAGAAAGCTTTTCAGGAGCTCAAGCAGACATTGGCATCTCCTCCTATTCTAACAAAGCCTGAGCCTGGTGACACCTTATTTTTGTACCTTGCCGTATCTCAAAACGCGGTCAGCGGGATCTTGGTGAAAGAGGTTAACAAAGTCCAACAACCAATCTACTATGTAAGCAAGGTCCTACTAGATGCGGAAACAAGGTATACTTTGGCAAAACAACTTGCCCTAGCCTTGGTTATAGCAACACGGAAACTCCGACAGTATTTTCAGTCTCACCCTATTGTGGTGCTCACTAATCAACCACTTAGGCATATACTTCAGAAGCCGGACGTATCAGGAAGACTGATGAAATGGGCAATCGAGCTTGGAGAATTTGACATAGAATTCAAACTACGCCCATCTATCAAAGCCCAAGCTCTGGCCGACTTCATTGCAGAACTAACCCCTAGGCCTCGGGGGCCAGGTGATAGCTCGAGCATGAGCACTAATTTGGACACTTGGCAAATTTTTGTGGATGGAGCATCGAACTCCTCGGGCTCGGGCGCAGGGGTCATCCTCATCAGCCCTGACAAACAAACAGAGATCCAATGCGCTCTCAGGTTCGAGTTTGAAGCAACCAACAACGAGGCCGAGTATGAGGCCGTCGTGATTGCTCTGGAGCTAGCCCTTTGCCTTGAGCTCGAGTTCGTAAAGATACTCAGCGATTCACAACTGGTGGTCGGACAGATTGAAGGATCATTTGAAAGGAAGGACGAGAAAATGAGTTTGTATTGTATGAAGGTTCAGGACCTTCAACGAAAATTCAAGAGGTGTGAAATTGCAAAAATTGCTCGAAAGGATAACGAAAAAGCCGACGCATTATCCAGGCTTGTGTTTATGGGGGTAGACGGCCTTGACAGAACAGTTCACATTAAAATCATCACAGAACCCAGCATCAGTCAAATCTTCGACATCATGGACATTGACAACGAACCATCCTGGATGGACCCAATCATAGAATTCATCACAAATGGAAATCTACCAAGCGATGCCAGGTTGGCTAGGAGCATCAGAGCCCGAGCTCCTAGGTACTGTATGATCAGCGGTGTCCTCTTTCGCAGAAGTATTACTCTTCCATACCTAAGGTGCCTCAGGCCATCAGAATCATCCCAGGCCCTTGCTGAAGTTCATGAAGGGGTGTGCGGGAATCATCAAGGAGCCAAGGCCTTGGCCTTTAAACTCGTACGATATGGATACTACTGGCCAACTATGAAAAAGACGCCTCAGAATATGTTAAGAGATGTGATAGGTGCCCGAGGTTTGGTAATGTTATCCACTCACCAGCCGAAGACCTCACCAACATTAACTGTTCGGCCCCGTTTGAACAATGGGGAGTTGACATCCCCGGCCCCTTTCCTATGGCAAGAGGTCAATTAAAGTTTGTTGCTGTAGCAGTAGAGTACTTCACAAAATGGGTAGAGGCCGAGGCTCTCGCCACAATATCGGAGCCCAAGCTAAGAGCCTTCACTTGAAGGTCTATCATTTGCAGGTTTGGGATACCAAAGGTCCTCATCACCGACAATGGCAGGCAATTTGACAACCAACAATTTAGAAACTTTTGCTCAAACCTTGGGACTGATCACTGTCTAACATCAGTTTCGCATCCTCAGAGCAATGGTCTGGCCGAGGTAACTAATCGAATCATATTGCAAGACCTCCGAACAAGAATAAGCGATGCTAGGGGTTCTTGGTCCGACGAGCTACCTTCCATACTTTGGACGTATAGAACAACTCATAGGACAACCACAGGAGAAACCCCTTTTATGTTAGCCTATGGCATTGAAGCAATGGTCCCAGTGGAAATTAGACTGCCAAGCCATAGGAGACTCGTGCCAGAAATCTCGAAGCATACAACTGAACATCTTGATCTCTTGGAAGAAGTACGGGAGCAAGCCGCTATAAAAGTGGCCTCTTACCAAACTAAGATAGCAAAACATTTTAATAGCAAAGTCAAGGTTCGGAGGTTCAGAGCTGGCGATTTGGTCTTGAGGAGGGCCGAAGCAGCAGGCCACCCCCCAGGGAAGCTCGGGCCCATCTGGGAAGGGCCCTTTGAGGTCATACGACAGGTTCGCAAAGGAGCATACAGCCTAAGAGACACTTCGGGTAGTCCTCTTCCGAGGCCCTGGAATGTCGACAATCTAAAAATATATTACAAGTAACATTCCCGATGCCGTTTAGGAGATTTTCTTTTTCTGCATGTTATTTTTGGTTTTTCGGGCCTGCGTGTCCTTGCACCTTATTTCTAGTTTAGCGGGCCTGCGAGCCCATGCATGTTTTCCGTTTTCTTTTGTAATGAACTACGTTTGGCTTGATCCCGTTTGGGTACGTAGGCAGCTTGGATGCAATATATAAATCCAAGTCCAGTCCAAACAATTAATAAATCCAAACCCCGGGTATATCAGCCCGATAGTTTGCTTTACGTCTAGCAAGCCCCCTTAAGCCTTGTCCTTGAAAAGCCAATGTAAGCCTTGCCCTCGAGCAAGCCCCTATAAGCCTTGTCCTTGACAAGCCAATGTAAGCCTTGCCCTCGAGCAAGCCCCTTTTAAGCCTTGTCCTTGACCAGCCAATGTAAGCCTTGTCCTCGACAAGCCAATGTAAGCCTTGCCCCGAGCAAGCACCAAAATCTTGGAGCTCATAATCAGCACATCAAAATAGTGCAGCACAAGTAGTAAATATCGAGGACATACATCCCGACCATATATCCTTGTATTTTTTGTCCAAGCCTGAAAAATGAAAGCTCGGGATAACTCATGTACAGAGGTCGGTCACAAGTATTCGTACTCTTCGGGGACTACCATCCCTTGAAATTAATCCTCGAGTGTTAAGTGTGTAGAAAACTACACTGTCCTCGACATTATCACTTGTTTAAAAATTGAGTTATTCTCAATCGTCGAGATGATTAATTAGTCGTCGAAAATAATTAATCTTCTTTAGTCGTCGAGGTAACTGTCTACGTGCTCGGGGTTCACACTTGGATGTTCCAAGATAATTTTATTATTTAGTCCTCAGGATGAATTTTGTGTACGTTATAATATTCAGAAATATTTTCACAAATTAGGTCCTCGAGGTGTTCCCAACTACTCTAGGCGTCGAGTTATTTAACCATCTTACATTGGGCTATTTGAATGATCGAGATATCAATACACAGCAGAAGGAAAATAGTTGATCGAGTAAAAAACATGTTCAAATTACAAAAAGGAAGGGCTATCATCATACCAAAAAACAAAAACTAATCTAAGTCCTCGGCCCTTTCTCCCGAGGCTGTGCTCCTCTGCTCCTCCACTGCGTCCTCGCCGTCAACATCGACCTCTTGGTCCTCGACGGTTTCCTCGGACTCTGACAGCTCGAGGGTGTCAGCAATCTCGGGGATGTTCTTTAGATCCTCGGGGTTAGCGTCGGGCTTCGATCTCAAAAATGCCCGAGCTTCCTTGAAGGCATGGAAGTACGAGTCCATGGCATACTCTCCCTTAAGGCCGTTAAACTCCTCGGACGTTTTAAAGTCCTCGATCGCAACCCCTCGAGCTTCAGCCAGGCGAGTCTCAAAATCAACCTTCAAACGCTCGATCTCGAGCTTTAAACCTTCGGTCTCGCCCTTAGCAGTTCCAGCCTCTGCTCGAGCTCTCTGGGCATCATTCTTCGAGTCCTCGAGCTCCTTCTGAAGAAGAAAGCTTTCAGCCTCCAAGTCGGCTATCCTCTTCTCCTGTGCTCGAGAAGAGTCCTCGAGTTCGGTGGTCTTTTGGGCCTCATCTTTCCCCTTCAGAGAAAGGCCTCGGGCAATGCTCAAAGCCTACACCATATAAACCCGAGCTTAAGTAATCACAGCGTTTAAACCTTTTTAAATCTTGAATTTAAACAAAGTAAATTGGGCGAGCTTACCTTCAGAGTAAGGGATTCCAGAGCCTTCATGCCCTCATCAAAATCGAGGTCCTTCCTATACTTGTCCACGATGCTTGACACCAGAGGACATCAGTCAGGCTCCTGATTCTGGAAAGAGGGCATAGGTCTAACCTCATCATCGAGGTCAACAACCTCGAGAGTACTCCTTGGCCAAGGATGTGATCGAGGTGGACCAGTAGGAGTCTCAGTGGCCTGTGTGGTCGGGGTATGTCCCCGGGCAGAAGTTTCCCCAGGCCCACTTCTGATATTCTCGGGGCCTAGGTCCCGAGCTCTCTTCTTCCCTCTCTTCTGCCCTGGAGCTCGAGTTTGAGGGACCTTTGACTTTTTGGTCACGGCCTGTCTGAGGGCTGAAGGATCAAAAGTCATCTCTGCAAAAAAAGAGCAAGTCATTAGAACGAGCACAATTATAAGTTCAAGGACAGATCAGTAAAGAAGATGGCAAAAAGTCCTACCCGCAGTGCCTTTCACATCCGCGAGATCGAGAACGTCATCCCCGAGGATGTCATCTATATCATATACAAGAGGCTCGAGGTTCTCTAAATTACCCTATGCCTTTCTAAAGACTCGAAATAAGCCTGACCTTCACAAAATCGGGGAGTGTCGGGCAAAACCCACCTAGCACTAAAAGGAAGGTCACTATCCTGAGGTACGACATAAAACCACTTTTTTTTCCAACCTTTCAAGGAACTGGGCATCCTCGGTAATCTAAATCCTCCTCGGGACAAAAGGTAAGCAAAACAAGTGTATTGAGGAAGCTGTTTCAGGTCGAACACCATCCTACAGAGATCGACGTATGGGTTAATTCGTAGGTATCTACAGGCTATAAAGAAATAGGTAAGCATCCTCCACCCATTTGGCACGAGCTGTCCAGGGCTCATATTATGCTCGACCAATAAGGCCACGAAAAAGGGATGCATAGGCCATCTAAATCCCCCCTTAAGTGAGTCCCTAAAAATCACAAACTCTCCATCCTGAGCTAATGCCATCCTATCCTCTACCCCTGGCGTCCTAATGTCGTATTTGGGCATGAACCCATGCTCCCTAGCCGTCGATATTGCTAGATGTTCTTTAAATTTACAAGGGACCTCGGGGTACCTAAAAGGGGTCGGGATACTTTGTGCCCGAGGTTGAGCATTAATTGGGACAGCCATAGGTATGATCGAGCATCCTATGTCCTCGGGAGTACTCCTCGAGGACGATGATGACGAAGAGTCGCTACTGCTACTACTAGACATCCTGACCTAGGTAAAAAAAGCCTAAAGAATAACTTTAAAACTCGAGGTCTTACCTTAAAGTCGACGCCTAAAAACTCAAAGTCCGATCCCGACGATTAGCGATAGAAGTTTACTGAGAGTAAAAAGTGAAAAATGAAATGAGGAGAGGGTATTTATAGGCAATAGGGGCAGGAAGCCCAAAGGTCACTACCCCGACCGTTAGATCTGGACACGTGTCCTACATCCAACCCTACCAATTTTTACCGCCTTTTCCTATTCTAGGGCTGACGTCAGTACACGTCGGCCTTCTGATCAATCACAGGTGTTCAGAAATCCTCGAGCTAAAAACTTGAGCTTTTATTTCCAGTCTCTTTGCATCATATCCTCGAGCATATTCTTCGAGCATATATGCACGGGGGCCTATAATGGGGACATTTTCCAATATCTCCGATCACAACATTCCCGATGACTTTTTTTGATAAAAGTATAAATACATCTGCGGTGTCCTCGGGCATGACCATCCTCGAGACAGTATGCCCGACCACATCTCATGATGCTTCGCGTATTGCAAACATTTGTCCTCGGGTATAGTCCTCGTGCACGTCCTCCCCTCACTACTGACAATTGTTAACCTTTTAGAATTCCTACGCAATTAGAAATCTTAACTCCCACAAGAATCCTATCTCACGTATAATTCTGGAATTCAACCAACTCCTTAACTATTCAGAACTCCAACAGATGAGGACATCCAGCTAGTTGAGTCCAATTAGGAGAATGTCACTTACTACTATAAATACAGAATCTTGAACCATTATTCAGGTACGTTTTTCATTGTTCTTCAGCGCATAGCCTCACGCATATATTTCCCTTTCTGACTTAAGTATCGGAGGGGCGACAAGAACACACCTCGTTACCTTTGTTTCAGGTATCGAAAGATCACGTTCGTACTCCTCATCCGTCATCAAGCTCGGAAAATCTACAGGTACGATTTTTGGTAGCATCATATATATATATTTTTTAAATCACTTTTATTATTCTAGCTTCTTTACATTGTACAAATTAATAGCATCCAAACAAAGGGTTTCTAGAATAAGATTTGTACTTGATTAGAGATATTTTTGTATGAAGTTGATAAAGTGAATGCTTCTAAATATGTTGAGCGGACACTCACCCCTGAAATTAACAGTGCCATACCTTAGCGCATTGCTTCTTGTGAAGAGACCTAGTTGTTAAAATCATAACTAGACCTTGCACCACGAAGACAATCAAATTAGAGTTGGGCCTAATTAGTTTTCAAACATCTGTGTTTGACTATCCATTTTCAATAGTGTCTACTTTGATGGATTGTGTCAATACCCAAGCCAACCTTTCTTTGCAGTATTTACACTACACTTTGTGTACAAACTTTCCATCTACTATTGCATCCATGGCGACGAATTTGAAGTTATCCCAACACTTAGCACATTCTTCGTTACAGGTTGTCCTATAGTGCCTCTTTCATCTTCTTTAATATCATCCAAATCAATTTTATTCATGCTCCCACGATCGTCGTCCAAATCATCATGAATTGGAACATCATTTAGATAACTGAAATCATAATTTAATGACGGAGTGGCTCATGCAGTCTGGGAATCACCAAACATTTGATTGAATTCAACAGTTTTCAACAATCTGCTTTAGAATTAACATGTTTGGACAGGGTTGATTTCAAGGTAAAAAATAGGAGGCGTCATATTGATCTCACATGATTCCCCTGTTTTTGACCCTAGACTTCACCCTGGCTGTCCAACATTGTTTGCTTTAATCCATTTAGAATAATGAAAAGAGAAAGATGTAGAGTAATATAAATTGTACTAGAATTGGATAAAAATGACTCGCGTAAGTAAATTTATAGACAATAAAACTCGAGCTTGAATAGTGAAAGAGCTTATATGAAGATTATAAGATTTACTTTGTAGATTGAGGAGGTAGAGAATTGAGGTGAGGGCAAATTTGAAGTGGAGTATATATGTATATATATTCTGGAAAAAAAAAATGATGCTCCAAACAGCCACCAACCGGCTCATGGGCTTTCCTACGAGCTTTAATACAAGTCGGCTCTTGAATTTTCTTGAGCTCGACAGGATCCGTGGCTCATCATAGTACAAGCCCGAGCAACCTATGGACAAAACCAAAATAAGTCGAGCCTGCGAACTACTATGTCCATTTGTCGTCGTAATAAAATGAGTCTAATATCCATTTAAAGAAAACCTTCAAAAGAATGTAACTAGAATCAAGAAAAACGAAGGACGTCTCTCACAATACTCCAAGGACAGGGTGGTGGGGGGCCCTTAAAATTGGGGTTCAATCTTTAAGAAAAAAGAAGGACCAAAAAATGCACATACAATTATTCAAGAGGCAAAAGCAAAATTTGTCAAGTGGATTATATCGGTCAGGTAGGCTTTCTAATCTTCTAACTTAGCATGCTAGATTGCAAAACAACCCACTCGCAACCAAATACCTCATTCACGAATGCAATCACGTAACGAATGTCATCACCACTATCACTATAGAAAAATTAATTCACAGAAAAAACAAAAAATAAAAATGATTGGATATAAAAGAACAACCACTATCATTAAGGGTAAAACTAAGGGTCCGAGTTGGTGAAGTAAGTAAGCGCGAAGACCTTTGGTCACGAGTTCGATTCCCCCTACCAACACTTTTTCGGTCGAGCCTGTTGCACCGGGCTTGCCTAGTGCGATTTACCTAGCTGTCGTGGTTTGCAAGCTATTGCGTCAACTCGAAGGTTTCCCCAGTGCGCATCTGAAGGGTAGCGGCTGCGGATTTCCCCGTTATTAAAAAAAAAATGATCCATTTGATTGCAAAGATGAAATTTGGGTGGAAAGAAAATAAATTCTAGGGAATTAAATTGCCTAGAAATTATTTTCCTGATAATTGTAAATTATTGCATTTGATTAGTATAATTTTCTACTTGAAAAATGTTGAAATAAAAGTATTTTTGGTGTTCGTTTGGCTTCGTTTTACATGAAAATTGTCAACTAAAGGGACATAATTTACTGGTATTGGGGATGAAATTTGTTTCCATTGCCAAAAAATAAATAAATAAATAAAATAATTTATCTTTTGGTGTTCGTTTAGTTTTGTTTTACATGAAAATTATCGGTTAAAGGGAGATATTTTTATACAATAATTCTTAGAATTTGTTTCCATTGAAAAAAATAAATAAAAAAGTGCTACAATAACCCAGAATTCCAAAATTGGAATTTCTTAAATTGATGGAAAATGCTGACATGACAAGAAAGTGAGAATTTCAATTTTAGAGAAAATTTTGGACAATCAAAAACCTAAAAGTTGGAAAATGACATCCAAATTTCATTTTCCAAGGAAAAAATGGTGGAATCAAACACTACATAAGATGAATTGGCATCACTACTGCATTATCTATGTTAGCCCTATTTTCTCTGCAAGTACCCTTTAGGCTTTATCGTCGCCCAACCCTGAATCTCGCGTTTTGTGACCAGGAAAGTTTGAAATCATGCCCTTAACAGTCACTTCACTTCGATTCAGCCTCTTTCTATTGGAGGAATTTTGTGAATAGTGACGCCAAAATAAGTATAATGATGTTTTATAAATCCGTGCCGAAAATTGGACAGAGTAACGGCAAAGAAAACACAAACAAGAAGAAGAAGAAAGTAGGGACAAAGTCGAGGCAAGAGTTGGACTCTTTGTCCTTAAGTCGAATTTGCCACGCAACGGTGCCTACGGATTTCCACAATCGACTCCCAAGATACAACGGCTACACTTGTGTTTGTAGCACTCCAAAACACAAGTACAAC